CCAATTGAGAGAGCAAGGGAGGTATCATTCATTGCCTCCTTTGAGAGTTGAGCGTTCATCGCGTCGGGCATTACGACGTTAAAAAATAGCGCTGTGTGGGAGGCAACCCATGGTTTGTTTCGTTATTGATTCGTTGCGCTCTTTTGTTTCATGTGTTAGTTGCTTTGATTTGGGCTTAATCCTTGCTTGTTTGTGGGAATTTTTGTGGGGAAGCATGATGGGGATATCTATTTTGAGTTGTTGAGATGATTTGGGTTTTTTTTGCATCGTTTGTTGTTGGAATCTGGAGTATTCGGGATGTGATTTTGATGTTCTAAGCCTAATTTTGGCTTGCTTTTGAGCAAAAGCGTGATACAACGGTTCCCTGACCTTTCCCCTCTTTGATTACTCATGTACTTTGTTTTGCTAGATTCGACTTTTGATTCTGTATTCCTTGATGCTTGTATAACATTGTATTTTGCAGCTTGTTTTGATTTGGGAATGTCCTCATGCTGGATCTATTCGTTGATTGTTGTTTTGATTTGCTATGCTTGGATTATACTTGGATTCTTCTTGTATTTGGATTGCATGCTTTTGCCCTTGCAGTTTGTTTTCTTTGGGTCTAGCCACACGGAATGTCTGAATGGAACTACACAGAACGTGAGTGGAACTGCGCAGCTAGAGAGACAGAGGACGGTAAATTGGTTCTTTATTTTTTTTGAAAGCCCTTCTGTTTCAGTACATTTTTCTTGCTTGAATGTCTGCATTACACGCGCGACCCTTTCCCTGTTTCCCCTTTTGAGCATGTTTTTTTTGTGTGTGTGGGGGGGGGGGGGGGGGGAGGGTGCCTTAGGCTTTGGGTAGCAGTGAGGGTATAAGTTTCGAGTTTGTTAGAAAGCGACTAGACTTGTATGTATTTTTAGGGAATAGGATAGGATGTTGTGTATAACTTATTTCTAAACCTCGTCTTTGTGACTCGTTAGGGTAACATACATGTATTTTCAGATGTTTTGTTGAGAATATAAGGCTAGATTTATATATACTCAGAATCTGTTTCTTTGAGATGAAGAAGGCACTAGTCACTCATACTGTTCCCATCTTGACACACCTTTTAAAAATTTTCCTTTAGAGAGCCATTTTGAGTCTGAACCAAATGTTATAGCCTAAATTAATGTTGAGCTCCATGACCAAATGGCCTGTGTTCTGACCCGCAAATAGAGTGTTCACTGTTTAGTTGTTTTAGGCGTTGGTTGAATAGTTCTGAGTTGACTAAGTCTTGCGATAGCTGTGTTAGGCACTGTTCCTATGCCCCAAACGGGGTACGAGCAGTCAATACTCCGAGAGTTGACGTTCTTGATCATTGCATAGTAGGCATGGATTCACTTTCTTTAAATAATTTTTGTTCTTAATTTAAACTTTCTCTGGTGAGACCGAGATTAGAATGAGGTGAGAAGTCTAGCAAAAATCTGAAAAAACGAAATAAAATAAAATAATCAACAGCTAGCTTCTCACCTTTCGAAAAAGGGAATGGGCAAATGATGGGCACTAGTTGTTAGTGCCTAAGTATACATTTTTATTATTGTTTGTAATGTTTATTTACTAGTTTTGTGTAAGTTTATAGTTGCTAGTTTGCATTTGATTGTAATCGTATTTTTAGCATTTTATTGTTTGTTGTAAGTTGTAGTTAGTTGAGCTATAAGTTTAGGATAGGTTTGGAAGCAAAAAGGATGAAGAAACCTGAGTTTTGTGCAAAACCCAGTCGGGTATGGACTTTACCCGGCCGGGTATGAAGTGACAAAGGAAATTGCTACAAAATTAGCAAATACCCGGTTGGGTATTCCATATACCCGGTCGGGTATTCTGTGATTTCGGACCAAAGAACGTGCAGAAGACACAAAAACATGGGAAAATATTTGATTTGGTAAATACCCGGTCGGGTATGTCAAAATACCCGGCCGGGTATCCGGCATTAGGTGTTGAAAACACCTATAAATAGCCCCATTTTCCTTCACATTTCATCATCCCTTCTTCCATTCTCTTTAGCTCAGTTTAGAATAGCATTTCTTTATATTTTTCTAGCTATGTTTAGCCTCCAAATGAGGAGCTAAACTTCCATTCTTGGTGTTGCTCTTGAAGCTTGTTGATTATTAAAGTTGTGAGTTATTTTCTTAACTTCTTTCCTTGAATATTAATTAATAGTTCTTTCCTTAATATCATCTCTATATTAATGTTGGGGAGTGTTGCTAAGATGACAATTAGTTAACATCTCGACATTAGTTAGAATGATATTTTCTTCCTCTATATTAATATTGAGGAGTGTTGCTAAGATGACAATTAGTTAACATCTTGATATTAATTATAGTAGGATTCATCTTCATTAATAATATTCTTCCTTGAATATTAATTAATCCCTACTCTGATTTCATATTAATATTTTGAACATTACTTAAAGGATCAACTAGTTTTGTTTCATATATTAATTATTACTAGAAACGATCAACGAACCGATGGTTAATCGTTGATGGTTTCACAAGTAAGTAACTTCGGTTTATTAATGCACGGTCGTGGTTAATAAACTTAAGAGTGATTAATTTTGTTGGTTAAACCGAAACCGCTTGTGTTGAGGTTATCAATCTCAATTGTTTTCATCAAGGAGTTAGAAAGATTAAATGCTACTATTAAATCGGTATAAGGCGTTGTTCTATATTTGATTAATAGTAAGGGTTATTAATGAACGGTCGTTGTTAATAACTACCCTCGATGAAGTGGATATACTCCCCGATTGAGTATTCGAGAGGGAATAAGTTATAGATATAACAATGATCGACTAAAATATATCAACAAGTGGAAAGTAGCAATGCCAAGTCCTTTTTATCTTTGAATTAAACACATATAGGTTGTTCATCTTAGTTCTTAATTAAATCAAATCACTCAATCCAAATCCCCCCTTTTATTTACTAAGTATCATAAAAAGAGAATTATTCCTTTCCATGTGGATACGAACTCTACTACGCTATACTACGTATAAGTGTTTAGTATTGAATTTATTTTGACGCACCGTGACAAAGTGCACGTCAGCAAACCAGCCAAAAAGCGTACGTGCTATGCACAAAAAGATGAGACTGGTGAGCTTTCAAAAGAAACGGGGTTCTCGTGCCAACATGACAGAGAAAACAAACATAATTAATGGGATCTGGAGGCTTCTGGTCAGAAATTGAAATAAATTTGCACAAGTCCTCCCCGTACTTCAAGTATACGACGCAACACCAATGTGTGTTGCAGCGGTTTGGCTTAGTTGTACACCGTGCCTACCCCTTGCATAGAGATAGATAGTTGTCCCGGTTGTGTCGTGTTGCTTGTCTTACTCTCCTTAGATTGTTTTGCGATACACCTGATCATGCTAACCAATCTTACACGGTGTTCCATATTCTTAAGGAAAATACCCTTATTATTCTTCTTTGTTCACAATCTCTACCACCAATACCTTCTGATTGAGGAATAGATTCTTGTATGTTAGATCGCCTGAGAATTTTGAATTTTACTGATGAATCTGCGTGCATTGAGTCCTACGAGTCCGATTAGAAGTTGTTTAGGAAGAAGTTGTCATGATATCCTGTACATTTTCCTGTGAATACATTCTTGTCTGCCTGTTTCTGATTTGCTTGAAATTTGTAACCCACACTTGCTGTCTAAGGTTTAGTGTGCTTGAGGACAAGCAAAGACTCGAGTGCGGGGGAGTTGATAAGGTGTGAAAACAGCTTATTTGTTCTGCTAATTCTTTGTCGTTGCGTGTAAATTTTGCAGCATTCTAGCATGTTTTTCGTGTGGTTTTGGTTTGTTTTTGATTTCAGGGCTAGAATAAAAGCTCCACTTAACTTTGAGGATATTTGGAGCAAATCTGTGGGCAAAAGCAAGTTTTCAGACGAGTGTGAAGAGCATTGTGAATTCGGGGAAGAAGCTGGAGCTTAAAAGAGATCAAAAGAAGAAGGAAAGAATGAGAAAGAGAAGTTTTGGATTGGACCGAGCCAAGGAAAGGCATCAAGGGATGAAAAGAAGAATTTTTGGAGGCCAGGGAGGAGGAACGCCCATAGGAACACCGTTCCCATCACCTTTCCTACGCTGCAGTTGGCTCCGGAACTCCCAGGTGTGGGAACGCTGGCAGGGAATGTCGTTCTTCTTAGCGTTCCTTCAAGAATGACATCCCTACTCCATTCTGTTTTATTTTGTAAAGGAAGGAACGCCAAGAGGAACGGCGTTCCTTCTAGCTTTCCCTCAGGCGTTCCTCAGAACGGGAAGACGTTCCTCCTGACCGTTCCCCCGACTGCCGAAACATTTAATTACGCGAACTTTACCCTTTTTACGGATCTTTTTGCCAAATTTCGACGGGGGAGAGCTCAAGAACCCTAGTTAAGCTTGTAATCTCTTACTTTACTACTCTCTTTCACTCTTAATCGTTGTTTTACATTACAATTACATGAATTTACTCTTTAATCAATACAAATCTTTGTTCTTTTCAATTCTCTTGCAATTCCCTTTACTTATTTAATCATGCATATGTTCTTATTCTTTGTAAATCTTTTTATTTTATCTTCAATTATGTGTGAGTAGATTGTTTAGGGGTTGGGGGTGATAAAGGATCACCCCATCATGTGATCTTCGGGGGTTTAGTTTCATTAGGGAAATCAATCAATAAAATATGAATGCCAAGTGTTTGTGAAAATTCCTCAATGACGTTTTCTCTTAATTGATGGCCACTGTTTATGTAGAAACTTGTTAGAACACACGAGGAGACTCCTAGGGTTTCTCTAGACACCTTCACAAACACACTATCTCCTCACCACGAGAGTGAAGAGATAGGGGTCACGTTAAATGGTCATGCTAAATTGTTTAGCCTAGGAAAGTCAATGGACCACGAGATTGGCCATTGAGTTCCCTTCGCAATCTCTCGGCCACGAGAGTGGCGAGAGAACTTTCACCAGACCCTCAAATGCATGTTTGTTGATTGATCTCCCCGATAATCATTTTCCCAGTTGATTACATGATGGGTCCTTGAGACCCCTCGCTCCCCTTTTATTTGAGATTATTAATTTCTTCCATTGCTTGCTATTTTTTCTAAACCCAAAACACTACTCGATCGATTAGCTTACATCTTAGACACTTAAGTCGAATTCACACTTACTTTCCTTATACACCATCCCGAGAGATGACATCCGGGATTTCCATATCCCAACTCACACACACCCCTTGATACTCGTTTGCATAAAATGAGCTATAAACTCCATACACAACAATGCTGCACTTGCTACTAAAAGGGAAATTGAAAAGCACAACAGAGTTCGGAACTAAAAAACAATCAAAGGAGGAACATAATCCAGTTTTTCCAGCCACTGCCCACTGGCACAGGAACAACGGTTTGACCAGCCTCCGCTAAAGGTACTTCATTCTTATCCTTGCATTCTGCTGCTACTTGCGATGTTGCCCGGGCAGCACCGCCACTTCCAAGTTTTTTGGGGTTCCTTCATCCACATTCATACTAGCACGTGCCCCCACTTCGTTATCCTTCTCGGTGACCCTACGCTTCCTTGGTGTGCCCAGGGTTGTAGCAATCTCCTTCCCCTTGGTCAGGAGTCCTTCCACTATATAGCTTTCCTGCTCCTTTGTCACTTTTTCGAACTCTGCTTTCTCATCTCATCTGTCTCCTTGCTTATTAATGCTAGGAATAAGCCACATGTTGCCCGGATGCGATCCTCCCCACCTCATATCAGCCCGTAACCATGGCCCATAAGTCTTCTCCCCAAACCCTATACCACCATGCAGATTAGATGGACAAAAATGGTCAGCATGACCAAGAATCCCGCACAGAAAGCAGAAATTCGGAAGTCTCTCATCCTGAAAATTTGCCCAGATCTAATTATCTCCTTCATGTCTAACCTGTAAGCATCTAGTCAAATCCATGGTAATATTCAGAGTAACTCTAATGCGCATAACCAACCTTTGCTTTCCTCCAAGAGAGCCCTCATCCACTTGCACAAGCGATCTCATCGCTATTAGCTATTCCACGAGTTGCCCTTGCAGTCATGTAGCTTAAGGGTAGGTTGTGAACCTGAACCCAAAAGTCTGCATGATCCAGTGGGACCTTCAGAGGTTTCTCAGTACGCCCCAGTCGTTTGATAACCACAAGATTCTGCTCAAAGGACCAAGGACCTTCCTCAACAACTCTATTTAGATCTCCTTCATGATAGAACTGTAAAAGGAATTTAGAATCCTCAATTTCATTGATAGAAACTCCCTTGACTGGTTGCCAAACCATAGCCATTGTTTGGCAAAACGAAACAGCACGAACACGCTTGTCTGAAACCACTCTAGCCACATCCGCTAGATTGAATCCCTCTGTGGTCACATCCGAGTTCTCTATCGGATCAGCCGCTAACACCAAACCCCTATTCTCTTCCTCATCGATTGAAATCATGTTAACGTTGTTCCGTGTTCGTAATCATTTCCATCAGGGTACAATCCAAAATCCACAAATACAAAGCAACCGAAGTAGAACCGAAACTATGTAAACAAAATTTAATAAAAAGCCTCTCCAATCAATGAAAGTAGAGCAACACCAGCCGTTCGTTCAGAACAGAGAGTGCAACAACCAGCCTCAGCCAAATTTAGCTAGAAAACAGAGACGCGGGACTAACGCCCGGAGAAGGACACGATCGGTCGAAACACGAAGAGAATGAAAAAAACCTGACAACGGAAGATTGAAACATCAAAACTCCCTAATAGTGTCGTATCATTTGTCGATCTGGATCTTCCTTGACAAGCCATTCAAATCCCAATATTCGCCTAAGGAGTGCCGTCGAAATCGAGAGCAAGTCTCCACGAGTAAGCTGCCGCTTCCAATCCCTAATCCTTCCTCTGCGTCGAAGTGCATACAGAGGGGAAGAAACTAGGGGTGCCGCACTCGCTAGGGTTCACATCTCCTAACATATTTTAGATAGTTAAAAACTGAATTACTTTGGATCATTCGATTTCCCAATCATAACTAGAAGAAACTAAAGATAGTTTCTATTCATTATAATAGTATATAAAGAACAAATGAATAAGTGACTTGCGCTAATTTATTGGCGGTTCAAATGCTGCCATTTGTGCATATTGAGAATACGAGTTTTTTTTCCGAATTAATGCGAATTAAATAAGTATTTACCGAAATAATGCTGGGTTACAAATATTTATCAATATACTGCTGGGCTTAACCCGGGTTGGGAAAAGTCGCCAAACGGTTTGGTGACTTATAAGTCGCCAAACTGTTTAGGGTTGAGACTCTCATACATCCTACGTTTGTATTTGGGTATATACACACACCCCTTCTTTATCAATAAATTATTAGAAAGAGTTTTAATTAATTTGGTCTTCTATCACCGTGAGATAGAACCGATCTCCTTGCACCGTGAGCTAAGGATTTTCCCACCATAGATACTCAACACAATTAAGACATAAATATATGTTTTCAAATGTTTAATAAAATAAAAAACATGCGTTGAATTGTTCAATAATAAATGGATTGATTGTGCTTGCTAATTAAGATAACTATTTAGCTATTTTCCATATAATATTTTCTTTATTTTATATAAAACATATTTTAAATGCAAGTTTTTCAATTCACAATTTACCATATTCAAGCAATTCAATCGTTTCAATAAAAATTCTATCAACTTGAGTACGTTCAACCATATTTAGTGTTAAAAATGTGGTTCATTGTTTATTACTCTGTAACACTTTTATCTCATATTCTTTAAATATATGCCCCAAATACCTTATTTTCCTGGATCCGCCACTGAGAATGAACATACCTGAAATTGTGCTTCTTCCTCTTCATATGATGATAAGTCATGGTCTATTATTTATCGTCTTTCATTGGATTTGCATCGTGATAGTAGTACTTGGTTTGCCAAACTTTTAAAGCCTGCAACTTCAATCCTTGAAGAGTTATACTCTAACCTTTTTAACCTATACTTTTCATATTTTGTTAAGCCACCTTCACTGAATTGAGATTGTGCCACATTACCTTTTCGCGTTTGTTGACAAAATTCAGTTTCATGCATAAAAATCTATAGTATACAACTGAAAATAGATTGAAAATTTTATTATGCAATTGTAAGTTATAATCAAGTATAAAAGAATTGCATTCACACGCCTAATACAATAACTTCTAGCATACAATCAATGGCCTACTAATATTGTCGCATACTATATTTGATAAATATTGTGTGGTTTGCAAATCATTTTTACTTTATTCTTACTTTATTAATTCAATATCAACAACATAAGCTCACTTTTCTTAATAAGCATGTCACTCACTCATGTCCCAATGTTAGTGGGACGGAGGTAGTATAACATAACTCTTAAAACCGTTACATTTTTGCACAAGATTGTAACATTTTATTATAAGAATTAGAATATGTTGCAATAGATAAAAAAACGTAACAGTTTAACGTGCACATTACATTATTAATGTTGCATTCGATCTAAAAATGTAGTAGTGTTTCATCTTTACTAATAAAATTCCTTTTTTCTTTTTTGGAAAAAAAATGTTTGGTTCATAGATATTGTTTCTCTCTAGTCTGCACAACTTTAAACTATAAAATTCTCATTTTCTTAATCATGTGTCAAGTCAAAATCAGAGCTATTTATGGGATCGAGAGAGTGTTGAAAAGATCACAAAAATATCTTTTTAGCTACTTATGCCAAATACATCTAATTTAAATATTACCCCGTCTCATTTAACATCGGAACTTTAAGTTGAATGTGAAATCTATATCTATATATGTATATATTAAGTGAGTTAAGTGAGTTCCCCCTCACCAGCAGGGGCAATCCCGTAACTACACAAATATGTATAAATTAAGTGAGTTCCCCCTCACGGGCAGGGGAATTCCCGTAACTACACAAATTTCTATTAATCACCCCTATTTCTTCTTACGTTTCACTCTCTCAAGTTTCTTTTTTATCTTCTTCTGGACTACTGCTACCTTCCAATCACCTCTACAATGCCTAGAGTATTGCTTTCGATCTGGACTCATACTACTCCAATCGCCAATACAATCTGAACTCCTACGAACTATTTGGTTTCGCCAAAAACTTCGGAATTGCTTCCCCTCAAGCCACGGAGATTCCATCTCGGTTAGTATTCTATCTGAATTCAAACTCTTTATACTTCGTATTTATATAGATGTCACCTGCACTTAATATATGAATTCCCCCATTTAAATTCGCCTAAAACCCTAGAATTAGAGGAAGCCGTATATCATCTCTATCGATTTTACAATGGCTGACCGTGCTCCCTACAAGGTTGTTTTGAAGAATGTTAATACGCAGCTGGACGGCAAGGCTGTGATGTTGCTGAGAGTAGTACGTAGATGGAATGTTCGTAGCAAGGGAAATTCCTCAGAGCCGTATATGATTGAAATGGTTCTCATTGACGAGGAGGTACAACTCTTATTATTCTTCTTTATTATTGAGTGTATTCTTCAGAGCCGTAAATGATTCAGTGTTATTATCGAGTGAATTTAAAAATTTAAACTCAATTGCTTTGAATTTGAGATGGAGTGTCAAACTATTAAGTTCTAGGATTCTCAGTTTTTAAAGCATTTAAGGTGTTTGTAAAAATGTCACATTCAGATTTTCAATCTGGCTTAGTTGTTAATATCACTTTGTAAATATCAGATTTTTAGTTCAATATAAACTGATATTGAAGTTTATTCTTTAATGAATGTAAACTGAACTAAAGAATGTCAATTAGCAGTAGAATGAATCAGAAAACTGAACTAAAAATATGATATTAACACCTTAAAGAATGTATCTAACAGTTGTAAATATCAGTTTGTAAATATCAGATTTTTAGTTCAGATTTTTAGTTGTTAAAATCTGGCTTAGTTGTTAATATCAGTTTGTAAAAACTGAACTAAAAATTGAAGTTTATTCTTTAATGAATGTAAACTCTCCTTTCAAGGTCTGTTTGAAGAATGTGAATCAGCAGCAGAATGAAACAGAAAACTGAACTTTCTCAGTTTGGATTATTTAATAATCTAAGATAAAAAAATGAAATTAAAGAAATGGTTATATACTCATACATGAGGTTCTGAGATTCTTCAAGTAAAATGAGTGAATGAAGTTAGTCTTTGAGAGTTGAGACTCAAGTTCGTAAAGAAGAAGAAAAAAACATACAGATTAAGAGTTAAAAAAAGACCTGGGGCACTTTAAGCAGCATGAAGTACATCCCTTATGCATGTTAGAACTGAATAGACTTTCACGAAGACTTTTAGCAAGGAAAGAAATATTTTCCACATTCAAAACAATAATTGAGTGGCAGTAAGATTTCTAATATTGGCTCTTCAATCCAAAACTTCCACTTGGATTATGGTGCTACAGGTTATATGTGCTGAGTACTGACACATACAACTTTACACAGCCATGCTTTATTCAGTGATTCAGTCGACTACAGGAATTGAGAAATGGGAAATTTGTCTAACTTAGTAGTTTACTGCATGTGTACTACTCCTAGGATTTAAGAATTAATTTCCAATACACATAGTTAAAAGGGGTGCACCATATGGTAAGTGAAGTGTTGCGAATGGTTGAAACTCTAGATTAATTATATGAAAACATATAACATAGTACACATGAAAAGAGGGGTGAATACATGTGCCTTTATAGCATATGGTAAGTGAAGTGTTGCGAATGGTTGTAAATATCAGATTTTTAGTTCAATATAAACTGATATTGAAGTTTATTCTTTAATGAATGTAAACTGAACTAAAGAATGTCAATTAGCAGTAGAATGAAACAGAAAACAGAACTAAAAATCTGATATTAACACCTTAAAGAATGTAAATATCAGTTGTAAATATCAGTTTTTAAATATCAGATTTTTAGTTCAGATTTTTAGTTGTTAAAATCTGGCTTAGTTGTTAATATCAGTTTGTAAAAACTGAACTAAAAATCGAAGTTTATTCTTTAATGAATGTAAACTCTCCTTTCATGGTCTGTTTGAAGAATGTCAATTAGCATCAGAATGAAACAGAAAACTGAACTTTCTCAGTTTGGATTATTTAATAATCTAAGATAAAAAATGAAATTAAAGAAATGGTTATATACTCATACATGAGGTTCTTAGATTCTTCAAGTAAAATGAGTGAATGAAGTTAGTCTTTGAGGGTTGAGACACAAGTTCGTAAAGAAGAAGGAAAAAAGCATACAGATTAAGAGTTAAAAAAAGACCTGGGGCATTTGAAGCAGCATGAAGTACACCCCTTATGCATGTTAGAACTGAATAGACTTTCACGAAGACTTTTAGTAAAGAAAGAAATATTTTTCACATTCAAAAATATAATTGAGGGGAAGTAAGATTTGTAATGATGGCTCTTCAATCCAAAACTTCCACTTGTATTATGGTGCTACAGGTTATATGTGCTGAGTACCGACACATACAACTTTACACAACCATGCTTTATTCAGTGATTCAGTCGACTACAGGAATTGAGAAATGGGAAATTTGTCTAACTTAGTAGTTTACTGCATGTGTACTACTCCTAGGATTTAAGAATTAATTTCCAATACACATAGTTAAAGGGGGTGCACCATATGGTAAGTGAAGTGTTGCGAATGGTTGAAACTCTAGATTAATTATATGAAAACATATAACATAGTACACATGAAAAGAGGGGTGAATACATGTGCCTTTATAGCGTATGGTTAGTGAAATGTTGCGAATGGTTGTAAATATCAGATTTTTTGTTCAATATAAACTAATATTGAAGTTTATTCTTTAATGAATTTAAACTGAACTAAAGAATGTCAATTAGCAGTACAATGAAACAGAAAACTGAACTAAAAATCTGATATTAACACCTTAAAGAATGTAAATATCAGTTTGTATATATCAGATTTTTAGTTCAGATTTTTAGTTATTAAAATCTGGCTTAGTTGTTAATATCAGTTTGTAAAAACTGAACTAAAAATCGAAGTTTATTCTTTAATAAATGTAAACTCTCCTTTCAAGGTCTGTTTGAAGAATGTCAATTAGCAGCAGAATGAAACAGAAAACTGAAGTTTCTCAGTTTGGATTATTTAATAATCTAAGATAAAAAATGAAATTAAAGAAATGGTTATATACTCATACATGAGGTTCTTAGATTCTTCAAGTAAAATGAGTGAATGAAGTTAGTCTTTGAGAGTAGAGACTCAAGTTCGTAAAGAAGAAGAAAAAAACATACAGATTAAGAGTTAAAAAAAGACCTGGAGCACTTTAAGCAGCATGAAGTACATCCCTTTTGCATGCTAGAACTGAATAGACTTTCACGAAGACTTTTAGTAAGGAAAGAAATATTTTCCACATTCAAAACAATAATTGAGGGGAAGTAAGATTTGTAATGATGGCTCTTCAATTCGAAACTTCCACTTGGATTATGGTGCTACATGTTATATGTGCTGAGTACCGACACATACAACTTTACACAGCCATGCTTTACTCAGTGATTCAGTCGACTACAGGAATTGAGAAATGGGAAATTTGTCTAACTTAGTAGTTTACTGCATGTGTACTACTCCTCGGATTTAAGAATTAATTTTCAATACACATAGTTAAAAGGGGTGCACCATATGGTAAGTGAAGTGTTGCGAATGGTTGAAACTCTAGATTAATTATATGAAAACATATAACTTAGTACACATGAAAAGAGGGGTGAATACATGTGCCTTTATAGCATAGGGTAAGTGAAGTGTTGCGAATGGTTGTAAATATCAGATTTTTAGTTCAATATAAAGTGATATTGATGTTTTTTCTTTAATGAATGTAAACTGAACTAAATAATGTAAATTAGCAGTAGAATGAAACAGAAAACTGAACTAAAAAATATGATATTAACACCTTAAAGAATGTAAATATCAGTTGTAAATATCAGTTTGTAAATATCAGTTTTTTAGTTCAGATTTTTAGTTGTTAAAATTTGGCTTAGTTGTTAATATCAATTTATAAAAACTGAACTAAAAATCGAAGTTTATTCTTTAATGAATGTAAACTCTCCTTTCAAGGTTTGTTTGAAGAATGTCAATACCCAGCAGAATGAAACAGAAAACTGAACTTTCTCAGTTTGGATTATTTAATAATCTAAGATAAAAAATGAAATTAAAGAAATGGTTATATACTCATACATGAGGTTCATAGATTCTTCAAGTAAAATGAGTGAATGAAGTTAGTCTTTGAGAGTTGAGACTCAAGTTCGTAAAGAAGAAGAAAAAAAC